CCTTTCCCATTTTCCCATTCGAAAGAAGTATTCCCGCTTAGAAATCCGGTAGCATTAGAAAAATCGCCGGAGATATTTTCGGTTGCTCTCTTAGCTGACTCACCCCGCACGCGAGAAATCTGCCGCGCAACACGCAACGGTAAAGGTATCCGTGCTCGTATAAACAAGGAGGCTGAAGTGGAAACACGTCAGTTCGAAAAGGGAGATAGGAATGAGAGAAGGAAAAAATGGTGAACAGGAAATAAAGTTACATGATCTAGACGCGATCGCGTCTTCGGCAATAAAGCTCCCTCTATTGGAAACAGATTACCGGGGGAAAAATTGAAGATGGATTGCATGCGGATTCGTTGGAAGGGAAAGAAGAATAGGACTGTCGCCACATTCGTTTTAACCGGCGCACGATGCTCGCCGCGTGAAACGGTGGAAGAAAGAAAGAAAGAAAGAAAGAAAGAAAGAAAGAAAGAAAGAAAGAAAGAGAGAAAGAAAGAACGAGAGAAAGAAAGAAAGAAAGGTGCAAAAAGGGGTGGCGGGAGGGATAGAGAGAAAGAGTCCTGAATTCGACGCGCAGCTCGCTGTCTATCAGTGACAAAGGATCCCCAGAAGATACCTGCGCGTCTTATTCGCGAAATTCACTCGAGAAAAGTGTGTCAAGCTCGAGTTCCCCCTCGTTCTTACCGGGCCATTGTGTTTCTACTCTATACCACTTGATGCGACGCCGTCTAGACGGCAAAAACGGCCGGGAAATGATAGAACTAAGGACCTGGAAGCACGTAATGGACAGCGAAACCGAGAAAAAGGCACCCCCGTATCATTTGTCACACAAACTGTACCTGGTACACAGAAGGAAAACGTATATGTGTCAGCAACCAATACCTGGACATTTTTGGACACTCGAGACATTCGTGGATTTGTAGAATAGAAGATGTTTGTATCAATATTGAGAAGCTGTCGAAGAGATTTCTTCTTTTTATTGTTGATTGCTGAGACGCTGGCACTTGAGAATTTTTGAGAGAAGTAACTAAATTTATTTTTTACATTTGATAAGTTCTTTCTTAATTTTATTTTTTATCCTTGAGAAGTTAACACTTGAGAATTTTGGACCGAAGTAGAATTATTTTTTAAGCGAGGTATGGAATATTTATTAGTCTTATTTGGTCTTTATTTGAGGAAAAGCTGTTGAAAAGATTGCACGGTGATTCAATCGTTAAACATTAATAATATTTTTATTTTACTTCTACGATAAAGGTATTTACAAATAAGTGAATATTTTCTTGAAAAAGCGACGACAATTTTTGTAGTGTCAGTCTCTTATTGCATTGCTCTACTGTTCAAATACTACGCCCGCTCGCTGTATCTCAAGCAGTCAGTCGTGAAAAAATATGCAAATTTACCGGCACGATCGTGACTTTACGATCTGCGAAAATAACGACAATTTGCTGGCTTGGAAGTTAAAATGCTTGTTTTTGTTCTAGGCATTAAACATAGTGACGCCCATAGTGATTTACTGTTACATATTTGAACATATTAATACAATAAACATACATTCGGTGTATGTCCGATCGTAAACACTTTCTTACCGTTCCGTTTACCTCTTGACCCTATTGTCATTCGAAAATTTATTAACTAGGTCTTGTGCACTATGTTCATATTTTACCCTTTACAAATCAGCTTGGTATTATCTGCAGTACTACATTTTATACTTTTTATACGTATCTTATTTTCTAACAATTACTGTTTTCTCCTCATCGTATCAAATATTAAACCTACAATCCGAAATTAACAAATATATGTTATTTGCATACTTCAAAGATTAATATTAAAGTACTTTTAATTTATTTAATTCTTCTTATAACTTCTTCAAATCTTCAACTCCATTGTTTCTCAAATCGAAACACTTTTCTTTCTTGCATATATCTAAATGATTACAAGTTCCATAATTGCTTTCCTTATTTCCTTCCTATCCTACCACGCACAGCTCCGTTCCCCAAGTGCAAAACGTGCAAATTTAAAACGCTAGTCTCACGACTCCTACGATACTTGCTTCGTTTAAAGGCGAAACGCCACTCTGACATCCAACCGGGAGTGCTCGAACACCGTCGTACCCGTGTTATTTCATCCCGCAGGAGCACAGAGGGAGAAGCATAAAACGATACGCTTGTACAAATTGTAAAGCCGTAGGAAAAACACTGGATCCGAGGTTCGGTCGTGCGGTGGTGGGGCTTGGCGGGGCGCAGATCAAAGAGACAACAAAGTTATGCCATGAATGCGAAGTCAGGTACGCCGATGGAGAGTAGCAGCGAGCATAAAAGGAGCTGCCGCGAGAAGAAGTCAAATAATACCGTTGAATGGGGCGAGAGCGCTGTAAAGAGCCGAAGGAAGGAAAATTACAGAGTGAACTTGAGGGTGAAGATAAGAAATTATTTGAAAGATACAC